AATTAAAATTAAGGGTCTGGTCTCATTGGCTCTCCAAAAATGGACCCCATATTTCAGAAGGCATATCCAATAATGATAAGCTTTTGGTTCTTTGCTCTGAATATTCCTTTAACTTATCCACAAAAGCCCTTGTTTTGAGAAGAGCAAATTGCAGCCTCAAATAACTTCATTACCCTTTTTAACAATCAAAGTGAAATGGAAGTGAGAATATTGGCATTTGAACAGGAATCGGGAATCTCCAAAGGGAAAGTCAAAAGAGAACAATATTTGCTAGCGGTTGGTTTCGATGTTAGAAATAGTATTAGAGCTAGACACCGAGCGATGTGTTAGTAGGAGGCTGAGCCCTAAGAGAGTAGACACGAGGCAATGTTCCAGCAAGGATGCTGGGGTTTGAAGGGGGGTAGAGGAGTCCCACATCAATTGGAGAAGGGAACGAGTGTCAGCGAGGATGCAGGGCCCCGAAGAGGGTGAATTGTGAGATCCCACATTAAACATATTTTATATAAGAGTGTGGAGACCTCTCCCTAGCAAACACGTTTTAAAAATCTGGAGGAGAAGTTTAAAAGGAAAAGCCGAAAGAGCTTATCGGTCCAATCCCTTTAGAACACGACCACCATAAAGGTCAACTTTTCATACATGCTAAAGAGAAATTGATAGGAAAGTGTACTATTTATAAGGTGAGCCATCCTTTTCGAAAGGGTATAAATCACTATATTGTAGTGCACTTCCCTCCTAATATGCTTTGTTTTGTGCAAATGTGAAATGAACCTGGCCGACATTGATGATTACCAAAATGAAACATTTGGAAATGTTAATGTATCTGATCTCCTAATTGACCAACAACATGTTTTCTGTTAGATTATCATTTTCTTCCCATAAAGTTTGAAGCTTTTAAGGTATGTGGTTTCATTTAATAAAGTGGGAGAAGTATCAACATCTTCATTAGAAAGTTATAGCTTGATTCATTGTCATAACCAAAGTGTTAATAGCAACTAAAGTACAAAATTCTAAGCTTATCTATAAGATACATAGTTTAAATAAAAACCAGAAATAAAACTAAACCTTTGATCGAATATTAATATTGAAAAAAAATTAATGGTTTAAAAAATGTGAGATTCTACCTCGATTGGAGAAGGGAACAAAACATTTTTTTATAAGAGTTTGAAAACGTTGAAATGACCGTCAGCTCAGACAAATGCTAAGCTGCTCTCCTGTACGGTCCTGAGGCCCTTCTCTGGTTGTGGGCCTATGGTTTGGTTCTCAAAAAGGGCCTCTTTTTAGCTGAACTCCACTCTTATAATAGTATACTTTCCTCCTATCTTCGTGTTGCCAAGGAAACCAATGCCCACCCAACGCATCTTCATCGGAACAATTGACATCGGGTCTTGCTTAAAACAATCATGTGAGTAAGGACAAAATAGGCTAAAATGACTAATATTGATTTGTAGGTACAACAATCACTCTTAGAATCAGTTCAAAAAAAGTATTGTGAGATTCATTCGAGAAGAAAATGAAGCATTTCTTAGAAGGGTGTGAAAACTTCTCTCTAGCAGAAGCGTTTTAAAAACCGTGAAGCTGATAGCGATACGGATCTCTACCTCAGTTGGAGAGGGAAATAAAACTCTAGGGATCTGGAAACCTCTCCCTAACAGACAGATTTTAAAATCGTGAGACGGACGACTATACGTAGCAGGCCAAATTAGACAATATCTGCTAGTGGTATAATGATCATGTCACATGGGAATGTTAGAGATAACATGTTAACCCATGTAGATGTAAAGTAAAACCGTGACCATATCAGGTATAATTACACATAAAAGCTTGAAAGATATAAATTTAGCCAAAGGGGTAGGTCAGTTATTGCTATCAATGCCTACCCCTTATCAGTAAGAAACCATATTTTATAGGAAGATTTGGAGGGTAAGGCTAAGGGCAAGGCGGCTGCCTGTGCTTCAGGAGTATAATTTGGTCAAACATATTTATTTCTGATCTGCCAACCAAAACCAAAAGGCTCCAATGGGGTTCTGATCTCATTATCATCAACCCTTCATTTGTCAAACACTAAGCCATGATGTTGAAGTTAATTATCCGTTTTATTTAATTCATGTTGGCCGCCGCTGATCAAGCTCCCTAATTTTTCTTTCTCAGTAGTTAATTTTATCTTTAATGCCTTTTCTTCTCATTGTCTTGACCAATCTCTACCTCTTTTTTCATGTGGAATATCCTTCTGATTCCATCTCGTATATACCGAACGAGTTCCTTGACGACGTCGTGAAGCTGTTTTTCTTTCGAGTTCGGAATCGTTGTGGTTGATTAGAGCATAAAACTGAGTGTATTATGAGTTTCTTCATACATGGTGCCACTGATCTGCATCTTCTTCTTCCTTTTCCTGTGAAAATTTCAGCCTGATTTTAGACAGAAAAACTCACAACATGGGGAATGTCCCCGTCTTGGTCATAAGGATCGTTTTGTGTTTTGGGTCATAGCGGGTTTATTAGATCAATGGTCGGGGCACAAGTGTCCTGGTACTATTCATATGCGAAGAACCCCGAGATGACTGCAATGAGCAGAAATCTCACACCGACCTAAAGAACGAGCATATACTCTAGCGTGAGAGCAATGGATCACCCAGAGAATTGATGGACTCCAACAACGAGGGAGGCCAAAATCATGTTTCCAGAGAAGTGGCAGTCTGAATTTTATATGAATTGCGATAATAATTAACTAAGTCATCCCTAGGCATAAGCCCATTCTCCAAACGATGTCAGGTCAAACTTTTAGGTTGTTTAAGTAAATTAGGCGATAAATCGATCATAACAGTACTCCAAGATATAAACAAGGGTAACAAATGTCGAGCATACAATGATGTTGCCCATTTTCGTTTAGTGGAAGTCCCTAGTAGAGGAAAGAAATTGTTGTTGGTGATGACGCATTTTGCTTCTTATCTATAATGGGGCGTCGAAATCGTTCCTAGCTCAATAGAATTTAACTTCAAAACTAACAATAAGGACTAATTTTAAGATTTACAATGTGAAAACTATTGATATTTGAATAGTAATTAGCGTCTCATCTATTAAACTTTAAATAATCGGTAGACTAAAATAACGATAAGAAAAGTTGAGATTTTTAAATTTAACAATGACATCGACAAATAACATATGTCAATTTCAGCCCAAATCTGATAGGAAGAATTGAAGAACAAAACTGAGAGAAGGGGAAAGGAATTTGAATTTGAGATGATATCCCATTTGAAAGGTATTTGAAAGGTGGTGGTTTGCACACAAAGTTGCTATGGGATAACAAAGGCATTAATTTGCAGCCATTCCCTCTTTTTTACAACTGGGTAAAGTTGAAAGTCAAACTTAGCTGCAATAACAAATCTCATAAAACTTTTCAACCCCTTCTTTTTCTTGCGTTGGGCACCAAATTCTTTGAAAAAACACACGCTCCAATGTGCCATTTAAGACACGGTGCCGGTTGTTCTTGAGTCAAACGCGCTCCAATCTTCAGAGTGGTATGACATTGTTTTACTTTAAACTTCCCTAAAAGACCTCATTGTCAATAAAGATGTATTCCTTTACTTATAAACTCAGGATCATTCCCTAAATTAGTCAACGTGGGATTCACTCTCAATAATCTCGACCCCATTTAGTTAATAACAAGAAATTTCTCTTTGTTCCTTCTTTTATCGTCCGTTTGAACACGAGATTCTCAACTCAATTCGAGATGAAACTCCATAGAACTTCGATCCCTCGAGTTAGATAAAGATGTCATTGCTTATTGTTAATGTTTTGGAAACTTCCCTAAGAGGAATAAAGGGTATGTTGTGAAATTCCAAGGAAGCTGAAAATGCCGCCACCCAGAAGCAAACATTAATTAGAACAGTAGTTTAACGATATCTTGTTCAGTCAAGCACGTTTCATGGCCAAACAAAACAAAGAAAAATGGTCTGTGGAAAATTTTGAAGATCATTTCGTTTTCAAAGAGATTAAATGTCTTTTTCTTTTCGGGAATCAGTCCAATATGTCATACTTTTGAGTACTTCACTCCCAATTTTTCAAGCACCAAAATATATGCCTTCTTCATATAATCATTAATCTCCAATTATATCTGTCTCTAAACAATTATTTTAATTTAAATTATTTTTAAAATAGCTACGTATATAATATATTCGGAGGTAAAAAAAAGTTAAAATTTTAGGAGAATAGTTAGATATTTTATTTTATTTATGGTCAATGTTTAAAATTTATGAATATTAAAAAATATATTTGACATAATGTGAACCGAAACAATTTGAATTTTCTATAAAAAGAAAAAAAAAAAATGGAAAACTAGTCGTTTCTACTATTAAATCTAAGACTTCTTTTGAAAAGTAATATATGGATTAATGGTTATATATAATGAGTGGATTCTTAATGGCATTAGAAAATCCAAGTTCTAGAAAAAGGAATAGAATATATAAATAATTATTTTAAATGGATACTAACAAATCCTTAAGCTTTAAAAAGATTTGTGGAATATTGATATAAAAAGTATCATAATCAACCATATTTAAAATTTAATTTTTTGTTTCTACAAATTAAAATATTTGTTTGGTATAAGCTTTGTAATATCTTTTAGTAATCCGAAAAATCAAATTTATTGTCCATGTTTTATTTTTTATTTCTCGTATTTGTTGTTAAAATATCATCATTAATTAGCGTCAAAACCCAATAATTTTATGAATTTATTGTCTATATATTTTAAAATATGATTTAAATATTTAAATATTAAATATGAGTTCAACATCTGAGTACATGAACAAACCAATGGCTCATTTTTCTTTAAACCTAAATGTGTTTAGCAATCACATTAAACCCATAATTGAATGTGCAAGTTTAAGAGAAAATATGGAGTTTGGTTGGGTGGGTAGAAGCAGTGTGAACATTCTCTCTCCCTTGAAGAATATATATATATATATATATATACACACACGTTTGGGTGCTTCAAAAGTGGAGAGAGAGAACAAATTATTGCATTCCAAAAGCATGAGCAGCTGCAGTGAAATTGAAGATGAGAATAAGAAGAAGAACAATGAAGAGGAGGAGCTCCGGAGGGGCCCTTGGACTGTTGAAGAAGACAACCTCCTCATCACTTCCATTTCTATTCACAGCGAAGGCCGCTGGAATCTCCTCGCCAAACGCTCCGGTAACTACCTATTTTGCCTTCTATTTCTTTTATTTATTTATAGCTCAAATCTTGAGACTTATGGAACAATTTTCAGGGTTAAGAAGGACAGGGAAGAGTTGCCGACTGAGGTGGCTCAATTATCTCAAACCAGATGTCAAGAGGGGAAACTTGTCGTCCCAAGAACAGCTCTTGATTCTTGATCTTCATTCTAAATGGGGCAACAGGTAAATTCTTCTTTCCCCTTCCTTTTTGCCCAATTTTGCTTAAATTTGTGATTGATTTGATTTTTCATTTCATTTCATTAAGGTGGTCGAAGATTGCGCAGCATTTGCCGGGAAGAACTGACAATGAAATTAAAAACTATTGGAGAACCAGAGTTCAAAAGCAAGCTAGATATCTTAATATGGATACCGACAGTGACGCATTTCAGCAGCTTATTCGCTACTATTGGATCCCAAGATTAATTCAAAAAATCAACCAATCCTCGCCGTTGCCGCCGCCGCCACCACCGTCGGAGTTGCCGGGTACTTCTCAAGCAGAGATGGTCTCCCAGAGTTCGTATGGTTTTGAAGCTGCGGTGACGGCGACGCCTCTGCAAATCGGTGGAGATTTGATGGGGAGTTCGTGTAATTCTTCCTCTTCTTCTTCTTCTGGTTTTCAAAATTACGAGAATTACGGGTCGTTTGTGAATGATTATTGGGACGAGGAGCATGGCAAGGGAGAGATGATGAACTGGACTACGACGGCAGTGACGGGGGATGCTGGTTACCCGGTTTCCCACTGCCACGTGGCTGAAACTAATTGGACACACGGGGATTTTACCGGTTACGTGCCCAGTATGGATGAATTATGGCAATTTTAGGAAGCAAAGAAAAAGGGTTTCTTTTTCTTTTTCTCTAAGACAACCCATACAAAAAAATTCTTCGTAGATTCATAATTTTAATCCAAAGTAGAACCCCCCAATTGTAGAATATTGTAATTTTAATATAGTTGTATTAAAATAATGTTTGATTATTCTAATATTTTTGTTAGAATATGGTGTGTGATTGAAAAAGAGTAACAAGATTATGTTAATATCTTAATAACATATGATTTATGGATATCGATTAATGTATGACACTAAACATAATAATGAGTAGCATCAAAATTAGCATAAATAACAAAATATTTTAAATTAAGTTGGAGTTATTGTTCATGTTAAAACATTTTATTTACACCAACCTTTAATTTGAATAAAATTATAATTTCCAGTTCAGCAAAATTGATGGATTCGAAGCCTTATTTTATATATTTAACACGTGAGGCTAAAATTTAAAAAATATTTTAGGTTGGCATAGTGGAGGACTTTAGAAGTGGTGGAATGAGAATCATAAGTTTGAAAGGTAGCTTTCGACATTGAATTATTTAATTTAATTTAATTTTTATTTTATTTTATGGAAAGATGGATTGGATTTTCTCTCCCTTTGTTGATTTTTGAGACCATCTAGATAGATCCCCCTCCAGGGTTTAGCTCGTATATTTTTAATGGTCTAAATTTAATTTATATATTTTAAATATAATATTTTGAAAATAAATAATAATAATAGTTTTCATGTAGATATTTTAAAAATATTTATTTAAAAAATACTAAAATTTGTTAATTATTTGCGAACAGACTACAAACAAATTTTCACCCTATTTGTCTATTTGGACGTGCCCGACGACAAAGTTGGGCCTGCGAAATGAGGCTCCCATCACAAGCCCAATGGAAAAAGCCCAAATTGGGGCTCCATGAAATTACTTTTTATGTCGAGCCCAATTATGGCTTTAAATTGGGCTTGTCTTTGGGGAAATGATAGCCCAAGAGTTGTATGTTTTGGGCCTGACCTACTACAAACATTTGATCTCATCCGTCCAATAAATAAAAAATAATCTCAGCCTTTGCTTTCATTGTTTTATAAGCTGCTCTTCTTCTCCAAGCCCTACTCTCCATCGGCTGAACGTTTTCATCCACTGAGTAGCCGATCGCAGCCTTCTAGCGCCGCTGAGTATGGTTCTCTAACTGCAATATTTCGCCATTTTCCCCTCTTGGCTAGTAGTCTTCATTGCTCTGTTTTCGTTTCATTCTTTAGGAATTTTTTGACTTTTGCACACTTCATTTCCCGAATCCTCCAAGGCTCGTGATTGCTTAGTGTAGTCGCCCTGTGGATGAAGGAGATGGTTAATATATTACCGGTTAACTTCAGCATTGTTAATTATTTTTGTTTTTCTGATTGAATCCGTTAATTTAAGACTGTAAGTTGTTGAAGGCTTAGATTAAGAAATTCTTCATATTTTTTGTGTTTCGAAAGTAAAGCCTAGAAGAAGATAGGTGTCTTCGACTTCCGTAGTCAAATCCTTTAATTTGATGGGTTTTATCCGACGACTTTGAATTTCCATTTTCACAATATTTAGTTGCCTCCTAAAATGAATGTTTGGCGCCCTCTAAGAGTTTTCCCATTATCTCGTCGTCTTTTTCAGCTAGATTTGTTAAGATGTTTACGGCCCTGAAAAAGATCCACAAGGATAAGGATGTCGAACCTTCCGAGTTCGAAGAGACCGTTGCGCAGGTTGGCTTCATAGAGAACAGATATCTCTTTTTGTTTTACTCAATTGTTAACGTTCCTTTACATTCCTCTTTATTGGCACTTCCGATGACTGCATGTCTCTGCAGGCGCTCTTTGATTTGGAAAACACCAATTCGGAGCTGAAAAGTGACCTTAAGGATCTTTACATTAATTCCGCTCTGTAAGTGACTTGGAGTTATTTCTAAAACATGTTAATCATGACATAATTATTCTGTTTTTCATTATACTAACATTTACGTCTTTGCGGTTGCAGTCAAGTTGATGTTGCTGGAAACAAGAAGGCCGTTGTTATTTATGTTCCCTTTAGATTGAGGAAGGCATTCCGCAAGATTCAGTTGAGGCTTGTCCGTGAGCTTGAGAAGAAGTTCAGTGGAAAGGTACTAGAAGGTCCATTTTTGCATCAGTTCTCTTTTCACTTCCCAAAAGCATAATCATTTTTAAAGTTTTTATCATTAGTTAACTTGGGACATGAATGTGGTGACATACTTCCTACATTGACTTCATTTGATGGTATGATGTGAGGAGTTTCATGTCCTACACAATGTTTGAGTCATGATATAATACAAATATTGTATCAGTCAGTTTAGACATCAATAATTAGAAAGATGTTCCACCTTTTTTCCCCCTATGTTCTCTACTTTAAGGATCGATCGACGTGTATACAAAAGTAGGTCATGTCTAAGCCTTATGTTTTCTTGTGCTAATTTTCTTTGTGACCCCTTGTTAGGATGTGATTCTGGTTGCTAACCGAAGAATCCTGAGACCTCCAAAGAAAGGGTCAGCAGCTCAAAGGCCTCGCACACGAACTCTTACTTCTGTGCATGAAGCAATGCTAGAAGATATCGTTTTGCCTGCAGAAATTGTTGGGAAACGAACCAGATACAGGGTTGATGGATCAAAAATCATGAAGGTAAATGCATGGCTTAGAATACCTTTTCCTCATTTCATCTGTGCAGTTAGTATGGAATTTAGATTGTGAATGTCATCTATATTTGGTAAGTCGTATGCTTTTTCATTGAATTTCTCAAGTAATTGTCGCAACTTCTATGCACCACAATTGAATTCTCATCGATCATTTTATTTACTCTATTGCTCCAGAATATGCGATCCTATTTTTTGCATCTACTGTTTAGAGGGTGTAATGGATTCACTTGGCTTGTGAGACTAGGACTGATGCTAATGAATAAAAATCCAATATTATATTTGTTTCGGATTTCATAGAAATCAAACCTTCCATTCTCAACTAAACCATTACTTATCCTGGTTTTGGTTTCTTCGCCACCAAATGTTCTTGCGATGCTTGGGATCTCAGAATGTATAATTAGATAGGGCTAGTTCGTGGTGGTGTGCATTTTATTTACACTCTTACACGCTCGGTCTATATATCATAGTACCTAGTACGGGTATTTACTCTTTGGTTCTTCTGGGTGCAGGTTTTCTTGGACCCGAAAGAGCAGAACAACACCGAGTACAAGTTGGAGAGTTTCGCTGCAGTTTACAGGAAGCTTTCTGGCAAAGACGTTGCCTTTGAGTTCCCGATTACTGAGGCATAACATCCTTATGCAATGTGATTCCGTTTAGATGCTTTTAGTTGAAAGTCATTCAAATTTTTGATGTTGAGAACGTTGAGTGATGTCTTCTTAGATTCTGTTTTTTTTTAAGATTTTTGATTTGACGAAATGAATTGATTAATGGATGTGGCGCTTTTAGTATTTGTAGGATTTGAATGCCCTTATATTCAAGTATTGATTGTTGGGAACGAAAAAAAAAAAAATCACAGGCCGGGAAAAAACTTCTGTGAACTTCATTAATTTTGTTAGATTAAAACTTAAAATTCATAATTTTATGAGGCAAATTAGAAAAGATTAGGACAATTTTAATTTAAACTTAAGGTGTGAATTTTTTTTAGGAAAACATGAAAATTGTTTGAGAATGTGTAACTTATTTATTCCAGTTTCTGAGTGTTATTTTTATTATTAAATAAATTTATGTAATTCAACCACTAATAGAATTTTTTGAAGGCAAATTTAAAAAAATTCTAATATCCAAAAACTATACGACGCATAATTGGTCTTAAATACATTAACATATCTAACAGAAAGTTAGAAATATAAAATTTTGCTCCCGATGAAACGATCCTTACTCCTATCACCCAAAAATGAAAAGAATTAATGTAGCTTTCTACATACTATGCACAGCTGAAGCAATTCACCTGCCTTCATCAATTGAAGAAATGGACATGGAATTTCTTGAATAATCCTCTACCAAACTACTACCAGCAGAAGCTCTAGTGACGCCAGTTTGTGTACTAGTAGTATTTGTCTTGGTGAATGCATAAGTAGAGGTAGTTGTCCGAGGTGCTGCTCGACCATGAAGTCCAGGTTTCCCGGGGCGCGGCAACGTGAATGAATCACTGGAAAGCATGAGATGAATGGTGTTCATATCAGGCCTATCTGAAACACTCGCTTGACAACATAGCAAACCCAACTGAATGCACATAGCTGCCTCATCTGCATTGCATTTTGTTAGGCTCTCATCAGCTAATTCTAAAATCTTCCCATCTTGGTAAAGCGACCATGCCTGTTGAAAGACATATTTGTTTCGGTACTTCATTACTTTTCTAAAGAAACCTCGTGTAATTTTAAAAGCATTCTAAACTAAAAGCATTCACTTTTTCATTCTCAACACATTTCAATAATAATAGACAGTAACTTACATATCCCAATAGGTCCGCCTGTTGAGCACCAAGCCGATCATCATGATTTTTTCTTCCACTAACAATCTCCAATACCAAGATTCCAAAACTGAAAACGTCACTCTTCACAGACAAGTATCCATGAATTGCATATTCAGGAGCCATATATCCACTGTATTAAGGGAAAACAAAAAGAAATATATAATTATTATGCATAAAGATAAAAACCAAGTAACGAAGAAAACTGCTACTTACTAAGTGCCAGCGATCTTAAATGTATTCAAATGTGTATCATCCCCAGGAAAAAGCCGGGCTAATCCAAAATCAGATATTTTCGGATTCAACTTCTCATCTAATAATACGTTACTGGCTTTGATATCTCTATGTATAATTCTTGCAGGAGCCTCTTCATGTAAATAGAGAAGTCCTCTAACGATACCTGTAATTATATGGAACCGTGTTGTCCAATCCAGGAATGGAGACCTCTTTTTATCTGTCAATATTGCCAACATAATTAAGATACATGTAAATTTCCACACTACAATTAGAAATTTTCACGAATTCCTCCTAGAAGGAGTTCTTACCAAAAATAAAATAATCGAGGCTTCTGTTTGGCAGAAACTCATATACAAGCATCTTTTCAGGCCCTTCTACACAGCAGCCCAATAAAATGACCAAATTTCGGTGCTGAATTCGCAGTAAAAGTTTCACTTCATTACTAAATTGCCTCACTCCTTGTCTTGAATCTACCGATAGCTTCTTGACTGCTACTTGTTGGCCATTTGGCATCAACCCCTGTATATTTAGCAATTCTAGTTACAATAAATCAGCATCCCTACAATGTCCCCTAAAAAAACAAGAGGCAAGAGTGATTTGGACATCGAAAAGAATCAAAGCCAGAGGGCAAAAGGCGGCTGCTTAGAACTTAATAGCCTTCAGGTCAAAATCACAGAGAATCTAAAAGTTTGAGTTTCAAAATAATTCTAAAACAGCTCGCTAATCTTTCTAGATCACTGATCTACGGTTCTAACTTCTAAAACTAAATACTTGATTATTCAGT